ATTTCTTGCCAAAGTTCATCTGCTCCAGTTGCAAAAACATAAACTGCCAATTCACATTATCAAAGGCCTTCTGCACATCGAGGAACATCAGTGCCAATTGTTTTTCTGGGTGGGCCTCATAGTATTCCAAGGTATTCAAAATTATTCTCATATTGTCTTTGATTTGTCTTTTAGGTAAAAAGCCATTTTGATCTGAATGGATGAAGCCATTTAAGTATTTTTTAAGTCTCTCAGCTAGTATAGATGCAAATAGCTTGTAGTCTGAGTTTAATAAAGAAATTGGTCTATAATTCTTGATTTGTGTTAAATCAGTCTCTTCCTTGGGTAGTAGTGTGATATAGTGTGACATCTCTTGAGATGGGGGAGAGGGTGCCCGTCTTTTCTCACAACTTGTGTATGTGACTGTGTGTCTTTCCCTCTCCCTTCCTCACAGGCACTCCGGAAGCCATGCCAGGCAGTCCTGCTTCCCCCGGGTTCCCTGCGGTGCCCCCAAGCTCTCCCCAGTTGTCCTGTTGGTCTTACCTCGCCACCTCGTCCCGCTGGGCCGGATGGCGGCCTTGTGGGCGGGGCCGGCTTTGGTGGGGCTGGGGGCCGGCTTCAGCAAGAGGGCCTGCTGTGAGGAAGGGCCCAAAGTGGAAATGGTCTGCGTGCCCGGGGAAAAAGAGCCGGATTTCAACTGGCTCATGTTTTGGAAATTCCTGCGCCCTCAGCTACTGGCAGTGATGGCGGCCATCGTGGTGAGCGTCTTTGCCCTGTGGTTAAGAGCGGGGTGGGTGGGTGGAGGCACACCAGGGTACCTGTCACTTAGAAGGACTCTTGGGTGGAAAGGAAATATAATTAGAATAGAGTTGAATGGGACCCTGAAGGAGAAAGAAGGAAGATGGAAGGAATGGGAGAAGGAAGGAAGGAGAAAAGGAATGGGAGAAGGGAGGTGGGAAAAGAAGGAAGGAAGGACAGGAAGGAATGGAAGAAGAAAGTGAGGGAGGAGAAGGGAAGATGGAAGGAATGGGGGAAGGAGAAAAGGAATGGGAGAAGGGAGGGAGGGAATGGAAGGATGGAAAAAGAAGAAAGATGGAAGGAATGGGAGAAGGAAGGAGAAGAAGGAAGATGAAGAGAAGGGAGGGGTAGTAAGGAAGAAGAGAAGGAATGAGAGATGGAAAGGAGGAAAAGAAGGATGGGAGGACAGGAAGGAATGGAAGAAAGAAGCAAGGACAGAGAAAGGAAGATTGAAGGAATGGGAGAAGGAAGGAAGGGAACGTTTATACAACCAAGGATCGTATGAGCTTTTTGCGCTGGCCATTGCACGCTGCCAGCTGACCTTCCAGCAATCCTATTTAACCCCCAGTTTCTCAATGACAACCCCCCCCCCCCCTGGTGGTGCATTTTTCCAAGTCTTTCTCTTTCCCGCCCTCCAGTTTGCCTTTGGGGCGGCCATGCTGAACATCCACATCCCGTTGCTGCTGGGCCAGATGGTGAACGTGGTGGCCAAGCACATGCGGGTGGGCGACTACCTGCGCATGGTGCGTCAGCCAGCCCTGCGCCTGCTGACCATCTACGGCCTTCAGGTGATCTTCTTCCTCCTTTCGATCCCCAGGCCGGATTCTATTTTTGTCTAAATCCCCGCAAACCCACCCCACCCCCATCGGGGGAGCAGAGTGCATCAATGCGCCACATCAGAATTGGCAGCCCACAACTCCGGATGGCGACAAGTAACTTTTTTTTTTGTGGCCGCAGGGTGCGTTAACCTTCGGGTACATCCTGCTGCTGTCCTGGATCGGGGAGAAGGTAGCCGGCAGTATGCGGAAGCAGCTCTTCTCGTCCTTCCTCCGGTAACGGCCGTGGAAATGGGTGGCCAGGTCCAGTGGGGACTGGGCATTGAATCAGAATCTGGAAGGGACCTCGGAGGCCTTCTAGTCCGACCCCCTGCTAGAGCAGGAGACCTTTACAGAATCATAGAATAATGGAAGGGACCGTGGAGGTCATCTAGTCCAGGAGACCCTTCCAGAATCGATAGAAGGCCAGAGTTGGAAGGGACCTTGGAGGCCCTGTAACCCTGGTTCTCTCCTTCCCCAAGAGAAGATCTAGCCTTCTTCGATGCCAATCAGACGGGGCACCTGGTGAATCGCCTGACCGCCGACATCCAGGAATTCAAATCTTCCTTCAAGCTGGTCATCTCTCAGGTTTGGCTCATGGGGGGTGGGGGGGTAGCAGGGTCNCCTGGAGGTCATCTAGTCCAACCCCCTGGTCAAGCAGGAGGCCCTTACAGAATCAAAGAGGTGGAAGGTACTTCAGAGGTCATCTAGTCCAGCCCCCTGGTCAAGCAAGAGACCCTTACAGAATCAAAGAGGTGGAAGGGACCTCGGAGGTCATCTAGTCCAGCCCCCTGGTCAAGCAAGAGACCCTTACAGAATCAAAGAGGTGGAAGGGACCTCGGAGGTCATCTAGTCCAGCTCCCTGCTCAAGCAGGAGACCCTATCCCTTTTCTGACCAATGGCTGCCTAATCTCCTTTCTCCACTTTTTTTAACCTTCATGACTTGCTAGCAACTCAAGATGCCCAACAACCCTCCCTCCCCCCTCCTCCTCCCTCCCAACAACCCTGCGAGGTGGGCTGGCAAGCAAGACAGAGAGAGCCCGGCCCAGCCTTCTTCCTCCTCCCCCGGCAGGACTCGAACTCACACACCCCCCGCCTCCCCCAGATCCACCCTTCAGCGGCGTCGCAAGTCCGAAGCAGCGGTCGTAGGTGCGGAGCAGCGATGTAACCCGCCAAACGCCCCTCAGGACGCCTCCTCCGTTAGCTGCCAGCCCCTTCCCGCAAACGGGACGCCCCCTACCCCGTCCGCGGAGCCTCCCCGGGACGCAGGAGGGAAAAGTGGCCGCTCACCGAGCGAGGAGCGACCTGAGTCACGACGGGCCGGAGCCGCGTCCGACCCCGCGGGTTCCGAGACCACGCCTCCCGGGGGCGGAGACACCGGGGCCACGCCTAGACGGATTAGTGCGCCTGCGCTCACCATTTTCTGGCACGGAGTAGCGTGGCCGCGCCTCACGGGCTCTTAGTGCGCCTGCGCGAATAGTTTACGGAGGGGCGGAGCCGGAGTGGACGAGGTTCATCAATTCTTATTGCGCCTGCGGGGGTCGCCTCCCGAGGGCGGACCGTAGGTAGATCAACTCTTGTTTTGCTTGCCTAAGTCGCCTCCTGGGGGTGGAGCCTGCGTGGACTACTATTCTTATTGCCCCTGCGCAGGTCATCTCCTCTGACTGGAGGAGGCATGGACGAACCTCACTAACTCTTATTGCGCTTGCGCGGGCCGCCAATTACGCCAGTGTAGTGTGGCCCCGCCTTGTTGACTCTTATTGCGCCTGCGTGGCTCGCCTCCCGAGGGCGGAGCCAGCGTGGACTAGCGTCCTGACTTATTGCCCCGGTGTAGGTCGCCTCCCGAGGGGGGAGCCGCGCTTCCACGACTCATTGCGCCTGCGCGGGCAGCCTGTCGGGCGCGGAGCCGACGGGGGTCTTCGCTCGGCGCCTGCGCGGTAGGGCGGACCCACCGCCTGCTCCTCCGCGCGCCTCCACGCTCGGCGCCTGCCCGTCTCTCGCGCCTCGGCCACGCCCCATTCTCTCCGCGCGGGGCATTGTGGGCGGCGGCGGCGACGGTTCGTGAGGGCGTGAGGGGAGCCGCTTTCGGTCGCCACTATGTTGCTGGCCCGGCTGGCTCTGCTGCGGCCGGGCCTGGCCGGGGGCCGCTGCTCCCCCTACGGCCAGCGGCTCTCCCGCGCCGAGGCGGCCATGAAGGGCCCCTCGCCGGCTCCGGGCGTTGCCAGGTAACCGCAACGGGGAGGTCAGGCCGCCTCGCGGGGCATGCCGGTAGTCGTAGTCCCTCCTCTTGCTGCTCCTCTCCTATTGGCTCCGGCCGGGCACGGCTCTCCCCCTCTAGGCCTCTGGGAGGGAAAGTCACTTTCGCCCGCCCGACTTTCCCTTTCGCCCCTTTCTCCTGCCAGGACAGCGAGTGCGCATGCGCACTGCGTGGCTTTTTTAACTCCCATTCCTCCCCCTTTCTTCTTGTTTTCCTCCTCCTTCCCCTCCCCCCCCCCCCCCCCCCTTCCCCCCCACGTTTTCCTTGGAAATCGGTTCTTGGAAAAGCCTGTTTATCCCAACTTTTTTTTTGTTTATCTGCTTCTGGTGTGAAACGGCTCAATCGTTCAGAATAGGGTTGGGAGGGACCCTAGAGGTCATCTAGTCCAGCAGCCCTCTTCCCGAGAAGGAGACCCTTACAGAATCATAGGACAGAGTTGGGGGGGACGGACCCGGGAGGTCATCTAGTCCAGCCCCCTCCACAAGCAGCAGACCCTTACAGGATCACAGAAGGACAAGAGCTGGAAGGGACCTCGAAGGCCATCTAGTCCCACCCAGTACTCACTGAGCCCACGGAAATGTTTAGTAAACCACGATTACACAGTCATAGTGATAACTTTAATTGTGGTTTAGTGAACATTCCCATAAGCTGCCCAGATGAGTCTCTGGATGAGTCTCAAAGCATGCTCAGTGAGTAGGGGTTGGGACTAGATGACCTCCCAGGTCCCTTCCAACTCTTGTCATTCCTAGGCCAGACTTCTAGTCTCTCCAGTGCTGCTGGTTTTCAAGTGAGACAGAGAAGACACTGGGANCATAAACTGCCAATTCACATTATCAAAGGCCTTCTGCGCATCGAGGAACATCAGTGCCAATTGTTTTTCTGGATGGGCCTCATAGTATTCCAAAGTATTCAAAATTATTCTCATGTTGTCTTTGATTTGTCTTTTAGGTAAAAAGCCATTTTGATCTGAATGGATGAAGCCATTTAAGTTTGAACTGGATTTCTGAGGAGTTTTGCCTGTGGTCCAGGGACCCAGACGGCTGGCAGTTTAAAATGTCTCCATGGTTAAGGGGGGGGGGGAGACCACCAAAAGACATTTATGTAGATTTTAGCACTTCCCAATTGCCTCAAGACACCCTTGGAAACAGAGATTGGGGTGGGGGGGACAAAGCTGCAGCCCTCTTTGCTTTCTGATGCATTATCCGTGGCTCTCTCTGTGTGTAACAATAATGATGATTATGCCCCTGATTTAGAGGGAGGCGAGGGGGGGGGGGCTGTGATCCGACTGAGGAGCCTCCATAAGGGCCTCCTGCTTCCAGGGCCTCTTGGTCAAGCCAGGCTTCTGCAGGAACGGGGTTTGTCCTGACCTCGATTTAAGACCGGGGGTGGGGAGGGGGGGGAAGCATTTGAGCAATTTCTCTCTCGAGGGGCCCCAACGCCCAGGAGAAGACTCAGGCCAGGCCAGCCCCTGCAGGGGGTTAGAGCCCCTCCTCGTGGTATTCTGCGGGGGCTTCTCTCTCTCTCCTTAGGTGGAGCTGGGGGGCTTTTATGCCCCCACTCCCTCCCTCCCTCAGCTGCCCAAGGAGTCAGCCAGGCTTCTCCTCCGGGCTCCAGGCACAGCCTGGTGACTTTCATGCTCAGGCCTCTGAGTGCCGGAGGGGCCCAGGAGTGCATGGGGGGGGGGGGCTGCTAGAAGCTGTGAAGCCGCATTTCCAAGAGGCCAACAGGAAAAACCAGCTGTTGCCCAGGGAAGCCTGCCCCAGAGGCTTGGGGCTGGGGAAGGAGGGCTGTCTCATTTGGCAGGGAGTCCAAGCTCAGAAGCCGCCCGGAGGATTGGGGAGGGGCTGCCTGCAAGATGGCAGCCAGGGTCCCTTCGGGGGTCAAGGTTTCTCAGGGTGGAGCCTTGGGGGAGGGGAAGCCTTGCGTCTGTCCCTTCTTGGAGGGAGGGGTTGGTGAAGGGGGGGGGCTGCCAGAAGGAGCCGGCCAGGGGGAGGAGGGGGGAGGCTGCCTCTCCTGCCAGGGGTCTGGGAGAACCTGGGGTGCCCCACCCTGCCTGGGTCTCCGAACGGGGCGAAGGGCTCTGACTGCGCCTGACGGGTCTCTCCTCTTCTCCCGGCCCCTGCCTGGGTGGGCAGACCCTCCGGACAGACGCGCCTCCACCCACCGTCCTTGCCTCCATCCGTCAAGCCGCCCGTCAACATGGCCATCTCGTCACGACTCGCTCTGTGGGAGCAGAAGGGAAGTGGATCTCCTGGCAGAGGCAGCCCCGCACGAGGCAACGCGGGGAGCAGCATGAGCTGTTAAGGGGAGGGGGGAGCTTTGGTGCCCTGAAAAGGCCCCCGCCACCCTCGCAGACCCCGCGGCTGCCGGGCTGCCCCCCCTTGCTATTAACTGCTGGGTTCCTCCTCTGCATTGCTGGCTTCCTTCCATGAGCTCCTCCGCTCTGCTTTGGACGGGCAACTAATCCGAATTTTCCTCCGAGTTGAAGGCCGTTAAAGCATCACATCTGTCCAAACAAACGGGCAGCTTCCTAGAACTGCAAATGGTGTGTGTGTGTGTGTGTGTATGGACATAGGGAGCAATGCTACTCGGCAAGCATCTTTCATTCTGTTAGAACCTCTGGAGCATGTGCAGAGTGCCCTCCCCCCCAGCAGCACATCTGGGGCTTCGGCTGGCTCTCTGGAACACCTTCTTTGCGGTGGGGGGAGCTTCTATGGGGAGGGGTCTTCCCTGAGGAAGGAGGGCGCCCTCCATTTCCCCGATTAACTGAACCCCTTGGTGTGGACAGATTAGGGAAGAGGACCGGAGCCCCCCGCCGACCTCCCCGCCTTTGCCTTTCTCCATCATTCCGGGGGGCTTCATCAAGCAGCTGGTGCGGCAGAAGGAGGAGGAGTCCAAGGCCCTCCGGCTGAAAGAGGACGAGGCCTCGAACTCCCAGGAAGACGTGAGTGGCCAGAGGGGGTGTGTGTGTGGGGGGGGTGTTGTTGTTAAGCCAGGAGGGGTGGCTGGTGGAGGGGCAGCTGCCGGGAGATCTGTCCTGGGGAGGGGGTCCCCTCTGGAGAGGAGGCTGCCCCAACAGCCCTCCTTGGGGTGGGGGGCATCACGTCCTTCTTGGGCACGCAAGCAGAGCCAGTCTGGATCTCCCTGCAATGTGTCAGTGGCCCTGGAGCCCCCTCCCCAGTTCTCAGAATCCTCGGGTGGGGTCTCCTCTGCTTGAGTTCCCACCTTGCACCCCAGGGAGAAACCTCTGCCCCCTTTGTGCCCTTCGGTCCCCTGGCAAAAGTTCCGACAGGTGTTTCTTTGCTTCCAGCCTCCCGGGAATCCGGTTGAAATCAAGGAGGCCGACCTCTTGGAAGCGGGGGCCGCGATGGCCAGCAGCAGGGGGCAGCTGAATGGGGAGAAGCCGGCAGGGGAAGGGATGGTGGCGCTCCCGGAGAAGAAGACCCTGCCCTTCAGGATAGGGGCCCCAAGGAGGAACGCCAAGCTCTTTGGGCCCGATCTGGGCCCAGCTGCTCCTCCCAAGGCTGAAGTCCCCGTGGCCGGAGGGGAGGGTCCCAAGGCATCCGCCGCAGAAGCCAGCCAAGGCCCGCTGGACTCCAGGCCCGGAACGGCAGCCGCGCAGGGCAGGCGCACGGAGAGCCCCAGGAAGGAGACGGCCCAAGGGAGGGCCAAGCCAGGCAGGGGGGCCAAGGGGGCGGGGAAGAGGAGGGGGGCCGAGGGGGAGGGGCCGGGAGAGAAGGGGGAGCAGAAGGCGCAAGGAAGTGCAGAGAGGGGAGCGGATGAGGCCCAAGCCAAGGAGGGGCCTGGGGAGGCCTTGGCAGCTGCCAGCCGGGGAAAGGGAGATGCCCGGGTGGCACCTGAGGGAGCCCAGCCAGCAGACGTCCCAGCCAGAGGAGGAAGGGAGCCCGGAGCCTCTGGAGCAGCAGCAGCAGAGACGAAGGGGGGCCTGGAAGAAGCAGCGGCGGAGGCCTCGGCGGGAGACGGAGGAGACCCTCCCCAAGAGAGTCCTCCTCCCAGCAAGGTGAGACGGGTGTTGGGAAGCCCATCCTGGCCTCCAGGCAGGACCGAGTGCTGGGAGGGCCTTCGGGGGTCTTCTCCCCAGACTGCCCACCGCTTGCCCCCCAAAAGAGGGAAGGGTGCGTAGGATTCTTCCTTTTCTCCTCGTCTGAATCGGATGGGCAGCCCCCTGGATCTCTCCCCATTACGCCTTCCCACTACGGAGGCATAAAACATGGCTCCTCTCCCCCCGCCCCCGAAGGCTGCTGTGATTGTAGGTGTGAACTTTTGTGCAAGAGTTGAGAAGGGAGGGCACAGGGGCTCAGAGCCCTCCAGGAAACGGCCACCCTGCAGCCACCCTGGGGGGCCTGGGGAGACCCTGAGCTGGGGCTGAAAGGGGGCACGGCCTCTTCCAGGGGTCCTTAAGCGGGGCGAGGCCTTCGGGGGCAAAGGGGGCGAGAGGCTGGAGTCTCCTCGGGTCTCAAAGGGTCCCTGAGCAGCTTCCAGCCCACCTTTGCAAGGAAACCAGTGAAGTTGTTCCCTCCCCAGTTCAAACTGGGAGCCCTCAGCCCCCCCCCCTCCTCCTCCAGCAGGTCTCCGAGGACGATGCCTGGTTTGAAGCGGAGAAGCTCTGGCTGCTTCAGAAGGACAAATTCACCCTTGGTAGGCTTGGCTTCTGCAGCGGAGGGGGCTGAGGGGGGGGGAGGACAGGAGCAGCCCCCCCCCCGGGGCCCCAGTCACTTTGGAAGGAGGGCAGAAACGGGGGAGGGGAGGGGTCCGGGTTTTACGCTTTGCCTTATTTTATTTGTATGTTTGTCGCTGAGACAGTTTATTATTTCAGGATTTGATGATTTAGATTTATTCTTTTTTTGATGTTTCATGTACCGTGGATGTTTTAATTAATTTTTCATATCGTGAAAGCTGCTGAGAGTCCTTGAACTCTTGTGGAATATCAATGCGATAAATAAGTAAAAGGCAAAGATCGCTCCCCCCTCGCTCTTGGCTTTTGTCATGGTGTGCCTGTGTGTGTCTGTGTGTGTCTGTGTGTGTGTAAGTGTGAAGTCTGGAGCAGCTGAGGCAGGCAGGCGGAGGGACGGACGGAGGGAGGGGGGCAGGGATGGGGGCAGGCGGGGCCCCTGGAGTAGAGAGCCCCGTGTGGTGGGTCCTGACCCAGAGCAGAGACCCAGGAGCCGCCTGCTGCCTTGGGGGAATGGCTGCGCAGGGACTGGAACCAGCCTTGGCTTTGCAGCCACGGAACTGAAGCCTGATGTGGGCACCCTGGAGCTGCCCGCGGGAACCGTGCGCGCTCGCCTGGACGCCGATGGCTCCATTGTGGAGGTGGACGAAGAAGCGGTGCAGAAGGTGAGAGCTCCTCTCCTCCACCTGCAGGCCCAGGATCCCCGGCCTGCCCTGAAGGCCTCTTCCCTTCCTTTGGCGGGCAGAGAAAAGAGGGGGAGAAGGCAGGTGAAGGTGGCTTCCTCCTCCCTCCTCCTCCTCCTCCTCCTCCTCCCTCAACAGGCCAATCCACCCAGCCTGGACTACACCGAGGACCTGGCCGCTCTGGTCAGCCTGAACGAGGCCAGCGTCCTCCACGTCCTCCGCCAGAGGTGCCAGTCGCAGCTGCCCTACATCTTCTCTGGCCCTCACTTGGTGGCCCTCAGGTCGGTTCCTCCCGCGGTCGGCAGCTCCAGGAAGGTACGGTACCTGGCGGTTGGGCGAAGGGGGGCAGACATTGGCTTGCTCCATGGCCCCTGTGGCAGGGCCCCTCTGTGGCTGTGCACGGAACCCCCCGGCCCATGTTTTCCCAGGCCTTCCAAGGCAGGAGGGACAGGATGCCCCCACACGTCTTTGCGGTGGCGCAGAGGGCCTACTGGGACCTGCTGGCGCAGAGGCAGGACCAGGCGGTGGTGGCCCTGGGCAGAAGCAACGCGGGAAAGACCACCGCTTGCCAGAGCATCCTGGAGTACCTCGTGGCCACCGCAGGCAGCCTGGACAACCGGGTCACAGGTGGGCCGTGCCCTGGGGAGCCCCTCCCAGCAGCCTCCCAGTCCCGAGGGAGGGAGGGAGGGAGGGAGGGAGGGCGCGGCCTGCCTTCTGCAGCGTCTTCTGGCTTTGCAGTGGAGAAGATCCAGGCCATGTTCACGGTCCTCACAGCCTTTGGCACAGTGTCCGCCGGGCCCAACAGAGCCTCCACCCGCTTCTCCATGGTCATGGCTCTGGATTTCAGTGCCTCTGGGCATGTAACGGCTGCCCATCTCCAGGTAAGAGGGTTGACTGGCACTGGCTGGGGGGTTTCTGCCTTCCGACATCCTCACGGGGGGGGGAACCCCTCGCTGTGCCCCGGGGGGAGGTGCCACCTTCAGCTGATCCGGAGTCCCCTGCCTCTCTCCTGCCCAGACGATGCTGCTGGAAAGGGCCCGGGTGGCGCAGCAGCCCGAGGGAGAGGGCACCTTCAACGTCTTCTCCCAGATGCTGGCAGGGCTGGACTTGGAGCAGAGGTAGGCTGCCGGGCAGGAGGCAGAGGGTGAAAGCGGGGTGGCCTTCAGGCTCCCTCAGAATTCATGGAAGCGGGCAGGGCTTGGGAGGGGCACGTGGGCCTCCTGGGGGAACTGGGCGAGGGAGCGAAGGAAGCCACTGGCAGAGACTCTAGGGGGGGCCCAGGCCTTCCCACCATGAAGGCTGTGCACAGCAGCTGCTCCTTGGCAGAGGGGCTCCCTTTCCCAGCAGAGAGCGCCAGAGAGCCAAAAAAGGCTGCCATGCATGGCACCAGGCCTGGGAGGGCTTCGCCGTTGGCAGTGCCCCGTGGTGGTGAGCAGCAGCCCTTTGTGAGCCCTTCTTGGTTGCTCTGGCTGGCACTGAGGATGCTGACCAGCCCTTAAAGGCTCACAAGCCCCCCCCCCGGGCACCGGCCCTTTCTGTAAGTGCTTCACTTTGTCCCCATTCCTCCCCCCACACACAATTTCTGCCAATAGGTCAACGTTGCACCTGCACCAGATGGCAGAGAACAGCTGCTTTGGCATCAGAGCCAGTCTCAAGGTAAGGCGCCCCTCCCCCGGCCTGTCCCCACCATCCCCCTGACTGGGTGTCCCCCAGGAAAGTGGGGCTGAAGGCAGCCTGAGGAGGGGGCACGGCTGGCTCCACCTTGCCTTGCTCACAGATGGGAGGGAGGGGGGATGGCCAGGGATGCTAGACTCAGGCAAAGGCTCTCCCCCCAGCCCACCCCCCTTTTGTGTTTGCTTGGTCGGGAAGGGGTGCCATGGCTCCTGGACCCCACCCCCCAAAGGCTGCTCTCTTCCTTCTTGCAGGCAGAAGAGAAGCGGGGGGCTTCGGCCGCCTTTGCCCAGCTCCAAGCTGCCCTGGGCACCTTGGGAGTCGAGGCGGCTGAGCAGGAAGCTTTGTGGCGGGTCTTGGCCGGCATTTATCACCTGGGGGCTGCTGGTGTCTGCAAAGGTACAGCCAGGAAGAGGGGGGCAGCCCCTTGAGGAACCTGCGCTGCCCCTCCCCTGGGATACTGCTCAGGACAGCCCCAAAGGCCAAGGGGGTGCCCGTCAGCTTGGCGAGTGGCACCGACTTCCTGGGCGAGGAGGCTGGCGAAGCGACTCCTGGCCTCTCTTGAGCCGTCCGGAAGAGGCAGAGTTGCCAAGGCAGATGGCCGTAGAGTCCAGAGTCTCCCTGAGGCCTTTCCTGGTCAGGCTGGGGGTGGGGGGGAGGCTCAGGCAGGGCTGTCTTTTGGGAGAGGAGGCTGTGTACCCAAGGGGGTTAGCGACGGGCTCAAGCGCCCTGTTGGTTTCCTTTGGCCGGCTCTGAGCCCCCCTCCCCATGCCCCCCCCTCCTCTGGCCTGGCCAGCCTCCCTCCAGCTTCCTTCCCTGCTAGTCCCTTGTGTCTGGGTCGGAGTTAAATTGGGGAGGGACTCTTTGATGGGAGCCCTTCTTGACTGCGAAGCCCTCTTAAGATGCCACGAGAGAGAGAGGGGGGAGGGGAGAAGGAGAAGCTGTGAAGTTGTTCATAAATTCTTTAAGGGGGCAGGGGGGGGTCTCCCCTCTCTTCTGCAGTCGCTCCTGGTGATTTATGCACTTCCCTTTGAAAGAGGCAGCCAGGCAGGGCCAGCCGGGGAATCGGCGGGGCTCCCTTGCATGCGCTGCGCCTTATGCTAATTTCACCCATGAATCAATGATTAATTATTGAGAAATGAGGAAGTTAGCCCCTCCGTCCGCCAGGCACAGGCCCCCTCCCACTCCCTGCCAGCTTCTCCAGGGGGCAAAGAAAGTTTAGGAGAGGCAAGGCAGGATTGGCACGTTTTTGGGACCCCTCGGGGGTCTCTCTTCAGCCTGGATTGCCCTTCCCTGATTCCCAAATTGAGGACCCTGAATTGGGGGGGGGAGGGGGGCTATGGGGCCCTGGCCTTCCCAGTTCATGCCCACTTCAGCAGCAGAGCCCTTCCTGTGGATTCTGCTCTCAGAGGGACGTTGACCACGGCATGCCAGGGGCCCTTTGCCCCACTGAGCCGGGACTGGCAAGGAGGCCAGGATCCCGGTTCAAAAGTGGGAGGCCCCCAGGGGATGGGAGGCGGGAGGCGCAGGCGGTAGTCGGCCCCTCGGTGAAGCTGCTGCCATGGGGTGGGGGTGGGGGGTGCCCGGCAGAATGGAGATGCTCCTCCTCACTTGATTTTGAGGACTGGGAAGCGGCCGCAGGGCCTTCGTTGGCTTATCCTGGTGTGGCATTGCCCCATTTGCTTGGTCTGGGGAAGGTCTTTGGGGGGCCCAGCCGTGGCTCAGTCACCCTCTGCCCCTGCCCTCCCTCTGCTGCCTCTTCCCTGCCCCTCCAGATCTCCACTGGCAGTTCCTCCCTCTTCTCTCCTTTCCCCTCCTTTCCTCTTTCCCTTCCCTCTTCTCTCCTCTTTTCTCCTTTTCTCCTTTTCTCCTTTTCTCCTTTTCTCCTTTTCTCCTTTTCTCCTTTTCTCCTTTTCTCCTTTTCTCCTTTCCCCTTCCCCTCTTCTCTCCACCCTGGCAAGAAGGCTGGAGGCTGCTCTCCTGCCACGGGGGGCTGCAGCTTTTATAACCGTCCTTCTCCTGCCTCTCGCCTGTTGACTGATTTCTTTCTAACCCACCAAGCAGAAATAATTGTCCCAGCGGTTAAATGGGGATTCTGAAAAGGCTCATTGTGCAGCTGGGCTTTTGGGGGGTGGGTTGGAATGGGGGGGGCTGTGTTTCCTGAGGCTGGACTGCTGGGGAGGGTCAAGGGGGGAGGGGCTCTGGATGCCTGATTTTGGCAGGTGAGTCCCTGGGGCTCCTGCAGCCGGAGAGGGAGGGGAACCGAAAGGCTGCAGCTCTTCTGCGCCTGCACATTTCACCCCAGCAGCCACTTCCCTGCTTCCCTCCCCTCCGAGCAGAAATCGGCCACCCGTCCCTTCTCCTGGGCTCCTGCCTCCGTAGCCGTGGCCTCCTCCTTGGCTGCTCTTGGGGGGGTCGGTGGAAAGCCAAGAGGGTGGAGACCCCGCAAACCCCCATGGCTGCTGTGCTGTTGGGGTGCTGCACTCAGGCCCCCCACGCAGTGTCCGTCACAGGCCTGGGACTCGGCCCTTGTTCCACGGCCAGACATGGCCGTCCTAAGGTCACTGCATTCCTTGGTGCTGCGGTGGAGGAAATTCCTCGGCCGGCTGCTAATCTCAGTTTGGCCCTCCCGAGGGACAGCCCTGCGCCTCTCGGATTAGCTGGGGTTTGTAGCAGAAAATGGGGTGGCTGCCCTGAAGCCGCCTGGGTGCATCAGCGGGAGGCAGGAAGGGCCGGCCTGGTTCAAGGGCTGAAACCAGACTCCCCCCGCCCCGAGTTCCAGTCCTTCCCAAGACTGGGGAGTGGGACAGGGGACTGGGTAACCCCAGACTCCCAAGAGAGTGGGGGTTCTGGATGGCCAGGCTCTCCTCCTCTTCCTCCAGTGGGCAGGAAACAGTTCCTGAAGTTCGAGTGGGCCAACCGGGCGGCGGATGTCCTGGGCTGCGAAGCGGAGGAGCTGACCACGGCCGTCTTCAAGCACCACCTGCAGCGGATCCTTCAGCAGGTCACAGCCGGATCCCCCTCGGAGGAGCCACTGGACGGTACGGCTGCCCCCCCCCCGTTTCGTTCCCCCCCCCACCTCCCGTGTGGTTTCTCCTTGGAGTCCTCACAGGCCCCTTGACCCAGAAGGGGCCCAAGCCCTGCGCCCGGACCCTCCGCAACCAGGGCTCTGTCCTCCTTTCCTCAGGGAGACCCTGGCCCCTTCTTCTTCTCCACCCAGTCCCAAAACCAGGCAGCCCCCCCAGGCCTCCGAGGGCCCCTCCACGCAGGGAGAGAGTCAGGAGGCTAGAAGGAGGGAGGCAGCCTCTGAGCCCCCGGCCGCTCCTCCCAGATCTGTGGTGCTCCCTCCCTGGGCCAAATCCCCTTCCCCCTTTTCCCGCTGCCTTCCCCCTCCTCCATTGGCCTTTGTGCGCTCTGTTGCAAGCAGCCCTCTGTGGGGACTGGCCAATTAGGAGGCAGCCAGTCAGCCTCAGATGGTCTCCTAGCAACCAGACCAGGTGCCAGGTGAGACCCGCTCGGGTGCTTTGTTGCTGGGCGGCGCCTGGTTTGGGCTGCACCCAATTCTCCTCCTTCCTGTGTAGCCCTTTTGCTGGAGGGGGAGGAGAAGGGCAGCCCCCTCTCCAAGCAGCCCCGGGTCATTTGGCCTGGCCGAAAAGGAGAAGGGGGCGAAGGGTCTCCCCACCGTCTCCTGGCTGTCTGCGAACGGAGCTGGTGGGCCAGGTTCCCATTGGCTCCCTGCTCCCTTCCGGTCGGCCATTCATTCATTCACGCCTTCAGCACATTTTAGTCCAAACACCCGTGAGGGGACAGTCTAGGACAGTGTTTCTCAACCTTGGCAACTTGAAGATGCCCGGACTTCAACTCCCAGAATTCCCCAGCCAGCGAATGCCTGTGTTTAGGACAGTGTTTCTCAACCTTGGCAACTTGAAGATGTCTGGACTTCAACTCCCAGAATTCCCCAGCCAGCGAATGCCTGTGTTTAGGACAGTGTTTCTCAACCTTGGCAACTTGAAGATGTCTGGACTTCAACTCCCAGAATTCCCCAGCCAGCGAATGCCTGTGTTTAGGACAGTGTTTCTCAACCTTGGCAACTTGAAGATGTCCGGACTTCAACTCCCAGAATTCCCCAGCCAGCGAATGCCTGTGTTTAGGACAGTGTTTCTCAACCTTGGCAACTTGAAGATGTCCGGACTTCAACTCCCAGAATTCCCCAGCCAGCGAATGCCTGTGTTTAGGACAGAGTTTCTCAACCTTGGCAACTTGAAGATGTCCGGACTTCAACTCCCAGAATTCCCCAGCCAGCGAATGCCTGTGTTTAGGACAGAGT